GCAGATCACGACAACGCTGCTATGGAGAGCAGTCGAATCATTTTGCGACCTCGGCATGCGCGCTGCAAGCCCACGCTCATGATCGCATAGCCACTTAGCATATGGTGGAGAGCGTGATATCGGCCCCTGCTATTCTTTCGGACTCTGGCCCCCGATGGAGAGGATTGTCGGAACTTCGAAGGATTCATTGAGGGGTTCGTTCGTGCCACGCTAGTCATGTATTAGCGTGTTTCTTGGGAAGGGATCGGCAATCGCGCGTCATCCTCATCCTGCCCGAATGCGCAGCAACTCCACCCTCGACGCGACGCGATAGGCATTACAAACCCGTACTGCCATGCATTCGGAACGGCATACACTGCGGCATCGGTATCATCACTGCCAATGGCGCGCGACAAAACAGCTGACCAGGCGATGCCTGTTTGGCGCGTTCATACCCTGATCTATCCACTGGCACGACGGTGGCTTACTTCGGATTTCTGGGAGCTATAGGGACATACATCACCTTTGGACTACGAAACACTGCATTTGGCCTCTTCATCGATACACCTCTTTTCTAATCGCCCGCCAAATATGCCTTTCGTTGAGCATCCGCTGCAGGGTGCAGGTATACGCATCGCTATAGATCGCGGCGGTACCTTCACAGACTGCTTGGGTATCGTACCAGGGAAACCAGACGTGCTAGTCAAGCTTCTGAGTAACGATCCGACGAACTATGCCGATGCACCCACAGAGGGCATCCGCAGGATACTCGAGCAGGCCTTGAACGTATCCATACCACGCGGCAGCAAGATTGACACCAGCAACATCGAATCGATCAAGATGGGAACTACAGTCGCGACAAACGCCTTGTTGGAACGAAACTCTACGAAATGCGCGTTGGTCGTCACCAAAGGGTTCAGGGATCTTCTACGCATAGGTGATCAGACGAGACCGAAGTTGTTTGATCTCAACATACGAAGGCCTGAGACGTTGTTCGACGATGTACTAGAGATTGACGAGCGCGTCACACTCCACGATTCAACCGAGGACAAGTCAACACTACGAGACCCCAATCGCGACTCATACAACCTGGAAAGGGGGGTCGGTGGCGAAGCCATTCGCGTTCTGCGACCAATTGGTTAGTAGCTTGACGTGGAAGTAACTTCCTCGCTGACACTTCAGTAGACAGCACACACGCCCGCAAAGGTCTCCAGGCCTTATTCGACAAGGGCGTACGGTCCTTGGCGATAACGCTCATCAACAGCTATACTTTCCCGAACCACGAGCTTCAGGTTGCCGATATCGCCAGAGACATCGGCTTCACGCAGATATCAGTCTCATCACAGATCTTCCCCATGATCAGAGCCATTTCGAGAGGCTACTCAGCAACAGCAGACGCGTACCTTACGCCTTTGACGCGCAATTACATCGACGGCTTTCGTGAAGGCTTCGTAGGCGGCCTGGAAGATACCAAGGGTGCTCGTTGCGAGTTCATGCAAAGTGACGGAGGACTGGTGGGATGGCAGCACTTCAGCGGTCTGAAAGCTATCCTGTCAGGCCCGGCTGGAGGTGTTGTTGGCTTCAGAAAGACTTGTTTCGACATACAGCGGAAGAAGCCAGTGATAGGTTTCGACAGTAAGTCTAAAGCTTGCGAGGCATACCAGAAGTAAGCTAATGCTTATGCAGTGGGCGGAACCAGTACTGATGTTTCGCGGTATGCGGGAACACTGGAGCACACCTTTGAGTCGATCACGGCTGGTGTTACGATTCAATCTCCACAACTAGAGATCGACACCGTCGCTGCCGGTAAGTAGCATTCATGATTGTGGACTTGAATAGCTGCTAAACTTTCTAGGCGGTGGAAGCATCCTTTCTTATCGCAATGGCCTCTTCCTAGCAGGCCCCGAGTCAGCAAGTGCACATCCAGGTCCAGCCGCATATCGCAAAGGTGGCCCTTTGACGGTTACAGATGCAAATCTTGTCTTGGGGCGTCTCCAGGCTGAGTACTTTCCAAAGATCTTCGGCAAGCACGAGAACGAACCTCTGGACTATGAAGGCGCAAAGCGAGCCTTTGAAGAATTACTCGTCGTGGTCAATGCAGATCTGTCACAGACTAGCGGGAAGACGAAGACTGTCGAAGAACTTGCTCTTGGCTTTTTGGAAGTTGCGAACGAGACAATGTGTCGACCTATCCGCTCACTCACTGAGGCGAAAGGACACCGGACGTCTGATCATGATCTTGCGGTCTTTGGTGGCGCGGGTGGACAAGCTGCCTGTGCCATTGCTGCCAACCTGGGTATCGATCGCATTTTGATTCATCGCTACTCCTCTATCTTGTCAGCATACGGCATGGCACTTGCAGATGTCGTTCGCGATGTTCAAGAACCATGCTCAGTATTGCTGAAGTCTTCCCTGGACGAACTTGACGAAAGGCTGTCGTCGCTCGAGAAGACTGCTGCTGAACAACTGGCTAACGACGGATTCTCTGGCCAGACAATTGGCTTCGACCACTTTCTCAACCTCCGCTACGAAGGATCTGACACAACCTTCATGGTCTCGCGCCCTGATCAAGGAACGTGGAACGACGCCTTCGTGGCTGAACACAAACGCCAATTTTCCTTCATCATGCCCGGACGAGATGTTCTTGTGGAGAATGTGCGAGTCCGAGCGACTGCCCGGAGCCCATCGGTTGAACCCGTGTTCAACCTCGATCAACAGCTCACCGCCTGCACCCCGTCCGCTGTGTCGGCAAAGAAGATTTCGGACCACGTCCCTGTCTTCTTCGAGAATGGCTGGACTACTTCTCCTTTGTATCACTTGACGAAATTGGCCAGAGGTGATATCGTCGATGGGCCAGCTATCATCCTAGACAACACACAAACGATAGTGGTTGCACCGAGTTCCAAGGCAACCATACTTGACCGCCATGTCATGATCGAGCTCGATCGAACGACTACCCTACCAGGCAACGAAGCTGTTGCACCACGGACCGTTGATCCAGTAGAACTTTCCGTGATGGCACATCGCTTCATGAGCATCGCTGAACAGATGGGTCTCGCACTACAGAAGACTAGTGTTTCGGTCAACATCAAGGAACGTCTTGACTTCAGCTGCGCGCTCTTCAGCCCCGAAGGTCGCCTTGTAGCCAACGCTCCACATGTGCCAGTTCACCTTGGCTCAATGGAGCAGGCAGTCATGTACCAGCACAACAAGTATCTAGGCCAGCTACGACCAGGCGACGTCATCGTCGCTAACCACCCCATTTCCGGCGGCACGCATCTTCCGGACATAACATGCGTGACGCCTGTTTTCAACGATGCAGGCAAGACCATTATCTTCTACACAGCTTCAAGAGGGCATCACCAAGAAATCGGTGGAATACTTCCAGGCTCAATGCCAGCTGGCAGCGTCGAATTGCACGAGGAGGGTGCCATGATTGTGTCAGAATACCTCGTTCGCGATGGCGTTTTCGACGAGGAACTAGTTACAAGGGTATTGCTCCACGACCCCGCGCAATACCCAGGTTGCTCAGGAACACGCAAGCTCGCCGATAACATCAACGACCTTAAAGCACAAGTTTCTGCCAACGCCAAAGGCGCAGCGCTCGTAGCTGACCTCATCACCGAACGAGGTCTCTCAACCGTACATCTCAACATGCACGCAATCACCGCCAACGCCGAGTCCTGCGTACGCGAGTTCATGAAGCGTACACATCAACAAACCGGCGGCAAGCGGCTTGCCGCACTCGATTTCATGGACGACGGCACACCCATCAAGCTCGCCATAACCATCAACCCAGACAACGGGTCCGCACACTTCGATTTTACCGGTACAGGCGAGGAGGGGTACCACAGTTTCAACGCCCCCCAAGCCATCGCCAGATCCGCCACACTCTACGTCCTCCGCTGCCTCATCAACCAAGACATTCCGCTCAATGAAGGCTGCCTCCGCCCCCTCACCTTCACAATCCCAGAAGGAAGTATCCTGAACCCCTCGCCATACGCCGCAGTGTGCGCAGGTAATCCCATCACATCCCAACGCGTCACCGATGTTGTCATCCGCGCATTCGAAGCCTGTGCCGCAAGCCAAGGCGACTGCAATGTCTTCTCATTCGGTATAAATGGCGATCACGACGACAACGGTACACCCATCCTCAACTCTGGTTTCGGCTTCGGAGAAACAATATGCGGAGGCAGTGGCGCCGGACCTGGCTGGCACGGCACTTCAGGCGTGCACATCCACATGACAAACACGCGTATCACGGATCCGGAACTACTGGAGAAGCGTTATCCTGTGCTTCTTCGTGAGTTCAGTATACGTGATGGGTCGGGTGGACAAGGGCGGTGGAACGGCGGAAATGGGATTCGGCGCGTGTATGAGTTCTACCGCGATATGAATGCTTCAATTGTTAGTGAGAGGCGGGTTACTAGGCCGTATGGTATGCTTGGGGGTGAGGATGGCAGTAGTGGGGTAAATTATATTGTTAAGAAGGTTGGTGGGCGGTGGTGTAGGCTGGGTGGACGCAAGGACTTTTCTGTACAGAAGGGAGATTGCTTTGTCATCGACACACCTGGTGGGGGCGGGTGGGGGATGAGGGATGAGGACGAGACAGGGCAAGTGGGAAGTGCACCGAGATCGGCAGTGGAACGGAGGTTTGTTAGCCAGTTTCAGTTGGCGCAGGAAGCCAGCAACTAGAGGTGCGGTTGGATTGTGAAGAGCGCGCGTTGAGGCAAGCGTTTTAGGACAGAACATAAGATTTATTATTGGAGCTTGGCCTAGGTGATTCGAGTATGTGATCGATGCTACGGCTTATTTGGTCGTCTCCCATCTACGCGTTGACGAAGTCTTTTTCTTTCCTCTTCATCATTCTTCTATATTCATTCATTTCTTGAGTGGCGCTAGCATACCGCGTTCACACCGCGATACTCTCCTCTAACCCGATTTGTCCAAGTGCACATGCAGCGACCTTGTTTACTCGCGCCAACCTCACTGCTCTATTATTGTTGCAAACTCCCACTGCAATGCGCTTGGGTCGCAAGGTCTTCGACATGTCTGAATCAAAGCGATCGGCTGCTAAGTAAGTCGCACCAGCCAAGCATGCTGCCTCCTCCAGCCCTAAATGGGTACTAACGCGACCCCAGGCTCTTCAACAACCCTGCGCTATCCGACGTCAAGATCAAGCAAATTCACGAAGGTCATACGCGCGAGTACTATGCGCACAAGGCTGTGCTATGTCTAGAGTCTAACTACTTTCTCAATGCTTTCACTGGCAACTTCAAAGTAGGTCGGCAAGAGTTTGGAGCTATGTGTCAAGAGGAAATACTGATAATGCTTAGGAATCATCTGAGGGTATCATGGAACTCCACGAAGACGATCCCGAACACTTCGAGTTCCTTCTCAAGTTCATGTACACCGGCGCGTACAACAAAGACGAGATCGCGAAATTCGCGGGCGACGACAAGAACAAACGGGTGCTTGTTCCAATCGGTGTACACGCTATCGCCGACAAGTATGACGTCGTTAAGCTCTACGAGCCAGCTGCGGAAGACGTGAAGGCTGTACTCGTGGATGCTGACAAGGACAAAGAGATGCTTATCACTGCAATCCACGCTCACTACGGTACCGAGGTCAATGTCGATGGGGCTATGGACGTCTCATAACTTCCGTTGTCTTCGAAAAGCACAAAGACCTTATTCAGAAGAAGGAATTCGAACAGCTGCTATTGACGTATCCTACCTTCGCCGCAGATGCTGCACTACACTCTCAGCGAAGCAAAACACTTGGCGAAGGAGCTCTTGCTAAGTGCACCTCATGCAGTATTGAAGCTGTTTACCTGGACAACTTAGGACAATAGAAGGCTGTGCAGCCTACATCGCGTAAGTGCGGCTGTTACAGAGTTGTTCCAGCACGTGGTACTAGTTAGTGATAACGAGCAAGGCTCTGCGGGCTACATAGGTGCAGTAGTGAGCCTAGAAACCATATTAGGGAGAGCAAACAAGCGATATTAAAGCTTCACTAGTAATCTTTTGTACAGCATCGATTGTAGATGTAGCGAATTTCACGTACATAAGATGTTACTTAGCCTAGTAAAAGTGCACAAATAAAGTCGAATACAACCTGTATCTGCACCTGTAAAACACGCATCTTTTCCCCTCTGTTTAGAAACACCACAAACACGGTTTATCGATTTGCCTAGGTAAGATTTATTAATAGTGACTTAAGGGTTTGCGGCTAAGTCTTTAGCTGCTACTACTAGACATGTTTATTGACCTGTAATAGAACTAAGTAGTATAAGTAACTAGATATCGTTTCAATTTAACTTAGGATGCCGTTGCGATAATATCTTAGCAATGTTTTTAGACGACAATGTACATAAGTTGTTGTGCTGCATCCCCTGTTACCAGATCGTTAAAGGTGGGCATTACACACCGTCGACAGAGCTACTATTTAATCTTAACGAGACAAGCAGCTGTAATCGAAAGCACCTCGCAATGTTATTAAAAGCACGCACTATCAGTACAGTATATACATTAACAAACGCGACCCTTTTATAATATACAGAAAGAGAAGAAGCAGTACAAGTGTCGGTGAAATAACAATATCTCCTTCCCATACTAAGCATTGATCTCATAATGCTTAAGTAGAATCTCGTCACCCTCTAGGCTGTCCTGTACCACGTATTCAATACCCTTCTGCAAACAGGCATCCCAAAGGTCCGGAATATACACGATATCCCGCTGGGCTCCATGTAGGATACATACCGCTCGAAGGTTAGGCAGTCTTTCAATCCCCCTTGCCAACTGTCGATTGGCCTCGTCTGCGACATGTAGGTGCCAACTGCCTTCAAGAGCTTAGCGAAGTTGCTCGTTGCCGAGACCCAACAGAGTAATCGAGGTAGGTAAGCTTTCGACTATTCAAAGTTGAAATGCCAGATCCGCATCCCAGTGAGCTTCTTCCGAGGTATACGTTATTATCATAGGCGTATCTGTAAGGATTATAGCGGGGACTAATAGAGTTTGCAGCTTAGTAAACTCGTTGAGGGTACTAACTGCGAGAGTAGTACAGTCTTAGTCGCCGAAACGGCCCTCCGCTTGTTTTGCAGAGAGTAAAAGATATTGCATCGTATCCTTGCTTTGAAGAAGAGCCATGCACATAAGCTCGAAATCCAGAATCCAGGGCATGTCATCGCGTTCATCATAAGGTCTTAAACAGCCCAGTCTGAAGCGGAACTCTACCAGTCGGTGACAAGGTCGTATAGTCATAATAATCTGTTCCATAGATATCTTGCAGTCAACAAGATAAAGAGTGCTGAGATTCCGGAGCCCGTTTCCTTCGAAATCAAGTCGTAAAGCCTCAGGGCCGAGAAGGCTGCGATGCATATCATCCGGATAGCGGTGGCGGTAATGTTTCAACGCTAGAAGATAGCGAAACGTCGCGATGCGCTCGTCGTATGACTCCGGCTGCGGAAATACACAGTTTAACCCATCAGTCCCATCAGGCTCATCTTCATTGACTTTGACAAGGAAATCCCCTGTAATGATATTGATCGTAGCGAGTTTTGCGTAATAGCCAGGTTTGCTTAATCCGAGTTCAAGGCCAAGAATCCGACTTAGAGGTCCATTATAGGTTTCGAGCGTTAGCTCTAATACGTTTGGACTCAACCAAAGCAAGAGCGTCAACTGCGCTTTCGCTGGAGTCCCTTTAAATTCGTCGTGCCACAAACCTGCCACCTAATCGTTAAATAAGCCCTGCACCATAGCTAGCAGGTCTTCAGAGATCGCTTCTCCCATTGCTAACACCAGATCTTCCTCTTGCTCCTCAAGGCCCTCCTTGCATCTCCGAGCTAGTGTTTAATTACAACGTATGACTTGTATGTATTCGGCCAAGTATGAACATAAGCTGATAGTCCGAAGAAGTCTTGTCAACTAGCGAACGCAATCCGCGTCGCCCATTGCCATCTCCCACGGCCTTCCTAGGCGGAGATGTGTAACCTTTCTTTCTTGCCTCCAGCCAACGATGTGTATATCTGCGTAGAGTAGCGGCGTCGCACTCTTTCGGAGTCGTTTTGTCGTCAGACAAAGACTGTGTAAGGTCTTTCTCTTCGTACGGTCGTCATCGTTGTCGATCAGCCAGGTCACGTCACCATGTTTTGGCAAATTCAAAGGCCGAATGTCTAGTCGAAGATATCCAAAGATCCTGTCGAGTACTTCGGTGGGTAATGTTGCAAGATTAAGGGAGGTTTGGTACGGGTCATCGCAGGACATGACTGCATCATCGTCCATCGGCGCGGTGAGGCAGCGAAGAGGTCAGAGGTGGGGACCGGCAATCAGTAAAGTATACCAATGGAGGGAACTCAGGCGCCGACAGATTTGATCAGTCTAAAAGACTGGAGACGATAGTCGACGTGATTATGTTCGTGATTTGCAGTGGTGGTAGGAAATGCTAACACGTCGCGGGGCAGGGACGCGTGTTTGACGTGACCCGCTAAGGAAGTTTATCATCGGCAGTTCTCCGGGAAGCCAGGGGCTCATACATGTGGAGCGCAAGCTCACAAAGGCATCTGTTAGATACTATATGTAACGTCAAGCCAGTAAGCCATGCACTTTGCCGAATTACCCAGGTGTAGCATCGAGCCTACCCAGGTACCAGGCCCTGCAGTCCACACTTAAGAACAGCAACCCAGGTACCGACAAACAGTTCATTGCACGAAAGAATGCGGCATAATTGTTTGCACAGGAGGACACATGTGTTCCTGCAAGCGCTCGTAATCAGCCAAACCAAGCAAAAAGCATCCAGAGAAAAAGGAAAAACTCGGAAATGCCAGCCAGATAGAGCTAAGTTGAAAAAGCAGGTAAAGATGTTCGAGCTCCCATTTGCCAGAAAAGACGACGGAAAAAGATAAATGCAGTTGCATCGCCGCCTGCCTGCAAGGTTATTTAGCTAGGAAGGCGTTGTCTAAAGCTGTTACGCGACAAGTTGAGGGTATTGGTGTGCGTTGCTTAGCGTTGTCCAAATCAGGCAACTTGTGGAAACCCATCGATTGCGGGCGTCTACAATGTTACCACCGTCATCTGAACTTTCCTCCTGCTGTACCTCGGCAACTACATTCCGTTTGGCCAACTTCACTCGACCTGCGCAAGACACCCTTTCCAGGAAACATTAAACACAGTACATCAATTGTAATACAGCTCATGCATTATAGCCATATACATTTTCTTTATAATCAAATACCGCGCTCGAACATCGCGCTCCATGAAGACCGACCCCAGATAACCTAGGACCTGAGCATCCGTGTCCAAGATCTTTCGCAGCCGCTTTTCCAGCGGTGAAGATAACATCGCACGATGTGGTATGTCTATAACCTCAAAAAGCGCTAGCTAGCTTCGGTAGATTTTGCAAATGTAAGCATGCAGCCAAGTCGCAACGGTCACATTGCCGATAGGCGAGCAACACTATCAAAACATCATCAAATCAACCTCAGATCATCTCCGCTGAACATCATGGCCGTTGCGTTGAAGTACAAGTGCAGTTATTCGGGTAATATAGAACTCAGAGTAGAGTAAGCGCGCGTCGTACGATGGTATCAAAAGGTGTATATAAAGACGAGAAGGATACAGGAAGATGATTCAAGCACAGAAAAAACTCCCACTGCCTCCTCCAGATATCACTCCCAGCTCAACAGCAGACCAAAAAAGTAAGACTCTTCCCCATATCGTCGCATATCCCCAAAGCCCAATCTAACCCCCCACCCAGTCCACCCCCAACCATGCACCCCCTCACCACCCTCACCCTCCTCATCACCGCCACCGCCACCACCGCCATCGCCACCTCACCCCTCTCAGAACCCCAAGCGCAAAGCTGCGCCAGCCGCGATTGGGGCTGTGAAGACGGCTATTGCTGGAAGAAGTGTGGCAACCTAGGAGAATGGTGCTGGCAAGCTGCAGATGCAGGCCAGGGCAATTGGGTGACTTGCGAAAACGATGCGGCTTGTAACGTAAACTTTATCCCTAGTGCTGGGTGTGGGGGCGCATGTAGCTGCTGAGAAAACACAAGAGAGAGAGGTGAAGGAGGGTGAAGGGAGGCGGCTGATACAACGGAGTAAACGGAGTAAACGGAGTCTCGAAGCCCATCACTCATTTAGTCTCTTGACTCCCAGGAAAAGTATCTAGATACTGTTCTAGAACATCAATCACTTCCTCTTGAGCGCTTCTCGCACCTCCATCTCGCATCTTATGTGCATTCTCCCCCTTCTTCCTCGTAGCAACCGCTTTCCGATGCGCCCTACTCTTAACATGTAAACTCCAATCATTCTCAGTAATAGCCATCGTACCGCACGTCTCACAGACCTTCTTCTGCCAGAGGTCTGGTCTTTGTCCTAAATCGTACTCGCGCTTCGGTGTCAGCATTTCTGCTGCTGCCGGCGACAACGTCGAGGGTGGGGGAAGTGGTTGGCCGGAGAGGAATTGCTGGGTGATGGATATGGCGGGTTTGACGACGTTGTCTGCCCATTGAGATAGGTTGGAGCCGTCGACTAGGAAGGTGGTGTTTTTTTGGCCTGCGCTGATGAGTGCGTTGAGGAGTTTGATCCGGATCCATTTGATCTGGCGGTTGGCGTATTGGCGGGTTGCTGCTTGTGTCTTCTCGGTGGCAAGAACCTTCAACTTTTCCAGCTCAGATGCTTCCCGTGAGCTGTCTGAAAGAGCACTTTGGTACTCCAGAAACTCCTTGTATCCAATCGATACCCATATGCCCCGGGTCTGGTCGATACTAACACCGGTGTCGGCTTCGTGGCGTTCACGGAAACTACCGAGTTCCTCAACTTCAGAGAGAAGACCTCGGGCGATCATCTTGTCAACGCGACCGTCAAGACGGCGGTGCAGCACGTCCTTGTTTGCGTGCACCCAGAACACAAGAGTTTCGAAACGAAGGCCTGATCGACTATCCGACGTTGTGCCATCCGCCTGGGCAGCAGAGGCCTCGCGCTGAAGTTTCTGTTCCTTGTAGAGCTGCGAAGCTGGTTTTCCCGCTCTTAGATATATCTCTAGTGAACGCTGGATCTTGCGCCGCTCATTTGGATGCCACCGATCAGCCATGATGGGATCGACTTCCCTCAGCTTGGTATGCAGGACATCGGTCGGCTCTTCCAGTATAGGCAAAGGCTGGCTGTTCTCATTCAGATTCAACTCAGGCTCATCTGATAGCGCATCCTGGAACAAGAGTGACTGTGTATAATAATGAGTGCCACCGACCAAGACCGGGAGTTTGCCTCTACTTCTGATCTTATCAATCTGGTCATGTCAGCCTTCACCCATTGTACATGGCATTTAGTCGTACTATTCTCAAAGCCTCGCCCACAAACTTCCCCACAGTCCACGTCTCTTCTTCAAGGCTAATGCAGCCTAGAAGATGATGAGGAACGCCTCTCGTCTCCTCTTGCGTAATCTTGTTGGTGATGATAGGCAACCCACGATACAGTTGCATCGCATCACCGTTGATAACCTCGCCATTGTACTTCCGCGCGATTTCTATAGCCAGCTACCTGCTGTGGTCAGCAAGACGAAGCGTGTGTGAACAAAACGAGCTTTACATCTGATTTGCCGGTCCCTGTCGCACCGACGATGGTGATTAGAGGCTTTCGCGGCGCTTGCGCCATTTTGATACTACTGAATGCCCTTGCGAACCGGAACATGCATTTCATTGCACGACTGGCGGGCTGCCAATGACTGAGTAATCGAAAATGTTGGTTAGCGTCAAGCGGGGTGCGCCTTCCCTCTTTGGCGATAGCGCCGTACTCGGACAATCGATCAACTTAGGGTCTTATCTACAACGATCTGAAGTCTTTGGAAATCCTTATGCCACGGAAAGTGAGCGAAATTGTTGATGATTGATATCTTCTCGTATACTTCTGCCAGGCTTGCATATGAATTGGATCGTTCACGAGCGAGTATCGTGTAAGGACATGGGCGAAGTGTAGGTGCAATGAAATGTAATTGTTGAACAAGACGGGGTATCATCGTTGAGTGCCGCCCAAACGCCTGTTGAAACTCCATCGACACGCATTGTTGAAGCATGCCGAAATGTATTCTCTCCCCTCCGTCCTACTCCTTCTCCACCCTCTTCTCAGCGCCATAACCGCCCTTGCCCTCTAGACTCTGATACGACGCGCCCTCACCCTTCCCATTTCTGGGACCCCGCTCTGTCAAATCTTCCTGCAGCCACTTCAACACCAGCTCACCCAGCTGACTGTTACCAGTGTACATGCGCTCGCCCTGCTCGACCTTGACATCCATGTCCTCGGTGCTACCCCACTTCTTCACCTTGCCCAGGCTCATGTGCACGAGATGTGTGGGCCATGTTGCGAGGTTATCCAAGATATGCGTCGCGTATACGATAGTGCAAGGTCGTTCCTGCGTCTCCTTCTTCAAAAAGTTGAGGAAGTTGCTGCGCGACAACAGATCGAGATCAACGGTGATCTCGTCCAGCAGCAGGATGGTCCACGGTCTCAGCAGACCCATGGCAAGTTGTACTCGCCTTCGCTCGCCGTCGGATACGGCGTGCATGCGCCAGCTGAGGTCGATGTCGAGGATGCGGACGAGTTCGTCGCGGCGCTCCGTGTAGTGGTCGCCGCCGATGGAGGAGAGGAGGGTGGGCACGTCGATGTCGGTGCGGACGATGGGGTTGAGCACCCATTCTAGACCGAGGTAGGTCACGCCCTCGAGGCCCATCTTGAAAGGGTCGATGCCTGCGATGTGGACGGTGCCGGAGGGGGCCATGCGCTTGCCGGAGAGGAGACGGAGGAGCGTGGTTTTACCCGCGCCATTGGCTGTGCTTGTTAGTCAAGATCTTCATGGCCCAGCATTCGCTCTTGCATACCTCCGATCAAAAGTGTTCTGCTGCCGGGTGGCAGGTCAAGGAAGACATCTTTCAGCCCACTCGAGCCATCCGGGAAAGCATAGCAGAGGTTCTTCACGTCAATTGACGGCGCGATTTCCTTGTTGTTGGCTGTGTTCGACATTGTCGCGTGGGATTGCGTGTATAATGGCTGTTACACCGGTGGTGGGAGGAGACTACATTTTGTAGGTAGCTTACGGTGGAGTCACCTCGGTGGGCTAGACTTCCAAGTCGACATGAGTGATGCCATCATTCCGCTGGGGTCCGCACTAGGCCCAAACAGGCAGGCACCGTCCTAGACCCTGACGGCACTTCGTCTCAGCCTCAACTTTTTCAACTTTGTTCTACTTCTCGAGCCATCGTTCATATTTTCGTAGCATCGGGCCATATGTGCATCATGGGCCGGCATGATCTGTGGCGTTATGTCATCACGCAACTCCGAGATCGCAATGCAGCCTCGCGAACGCCATAACCACAACAGAAGACTTGAGCATTTCCTTTGAAATACGGATGCAACGCTTGATGGGAGGCTCAGTAGTGCAGGGTATGGGGACGATTTGCAGTGCAGGAAAATGTGTCGCGATTCATACTGCACATCTAGTCATGAAGCAAAGCACGTGTAATTCGACAAAGCTACCGCCCACGCAAAGCAAGAACACACGTTCCATATATACAACCACTGTCTTCCTCCTATGTACAATCATCCCGTCGTCCCCTTCTACTCGACACGACAAGTAAGTCTGGCGATGCGCTTAGAGGGAAACGCAGCCGGAGCTGGAGTCTTCAAGGAAGAGACCACCGTAGATCTGGCCCTCGTCAAGGTTGGCCTCCTGGAAACCAGCGTTGGCGACATCGGAAGTCCCAGTGGGCTTCTTGAGGATGCCCATCTGGAACTGGCCGAGACCAGCAAGGTTGACGGACAAAGGTCCAGCGACCTTCCTGAGCTCCTGTTGGCCGGCGGAGTAGAAGATGGTGGTCTCGCTAGAGGGTTGTTAGTATATATTCTGGACTAGGAGTGAGAGGAACGTACTTCTTGGTGTAGTCGAGGGTCATAGCAAAGTTCTGCCACTGGGTCTGGTCGATCTTGACGTTCCAGAGCCACTTGCCAGCACGGTCAAGAATCTTGAACTGGTCCTTGTCGGCATCGCTCTTTCCAATGAGAGATCCAGTCTGGAACTGGATCTGGTTGTTGCTGAAGTCAGCAGCCTCGTGCCAGACGTTGAGGTACTCGTGAGTGAGGTTCAAAGGCCTGGCAGAGTCCTGCTTGACACTCCAGTGAAGAGTCTTGACGCCCTTGCCACCCTCGCCATCAGGGGCATCCTTGAGGAACTGGAGACCTGCGCGGCGGAATCCCTGCTGCTTCTGGAAGATGGACTCATCGGAGATGGTCACCTCAACAGCCTTGAACTTGTCGCCATCGAAGCGCGAGGACTCGTTGGGGAATTTGAGGATCTGAGACCAGGTAAGGTTGTTACCCTTGACGAAGTCGGCGTTGAAGAGCGTGTTGGTGGTCTGGGTGTCGAAGGAGACGGGTGTCATGTTGGCAGGGACACGGCCGTCGAAGACGATGGGGCACTTGGGCTCCGCGGCGCGGGTGACATGGGGGTGAAGGGCGGGTGCAGCCAGTGCAGTGGAGGCAACTGAGGCCAAGGTAATGAGCGTAGAAGTGAACATGATGGTGGTTCAAAAGAATGTAGTAGAGACTGTGGATGCGCTGGATGTGGATGAGACGGCAATAGTGGGTGGGTGGAGACACTCTTTATACAATTCTCAAACGCGTCACTGAACGCTTCCTTACCCCAAGTCCATCTGAGCACGGCTCACATTAGATGAACATGTCGGTGCCCACGCGTCCGGCTTGTTCCATGGCCGAAATATAGGGATACCCGCGCTTTCATTTGGGGTACTGCAGAAAGTAGACAGCTAACCAATGGCACGGGCAGGAGAATAGTGATGGAATATTCTATAGTAGGCCCGACGACGTCAGGGTAAGGCCGCATTAATATAGGTGAAAGACGCTGCTGTCATGAGGCTCCTTAACCGGGATGTGGGGTAATGTGCACGGCTGCTGGTCAAGTACCGGACGGACCGGCAACCCGTTGCTTTTTAACCTGGGAGTATTAAGAAGAGGAGTCGCGCCGACTGTTGTACCTGAGATGAGAACGGTCTTTTACCGTCCACCGCACCTTAATCCAACTCTTCATCACATCGTGATCCTTTTCGAACAAGACCTACTGCCTTCACTGCCCAAAGCGCAATTTCATGCGTGGAGCAGCAGCGACAACCGACATTTTCAGAAAGCGACCGAATCAGGCCGTCAAACACACCGGCGCCGCCAAGTTTCATCAACACCGGGAATGCGACCGAGTCGTAATGATGTGAACAAGCATAGCTGTCAGCAATGGGCTGAATGTGGTTCTAGAGTCGTTCGCGACGCTGGGCATGATGTTGAAATGGAGAGGATATAGTGGTGTCAAGAGTTGGCAGCAGCCGTTCGGCGATGCGCAGATGGTCCAAGCGGAACAACTGTATTCCACCCACAGGCGGCGGAAGGTCAATCCTCCGCTCTGGACGAAGTTGCTCAAAGTCGTCCGTCTACCTACCGCGAGGGTACCGCAAGGCCCGAATGCGCGTCGGGTAGATGTGAAGATGTGTGCTATTATCATATACAGGTCTAACGCCCGCGGTATCATACCGCCTCGCAGTTTATGCCCTGCGTCTATGCTCAAACTCTGTTCATTACATATTCGCCCAAGAAGCTCATCAGCCTGATCTCCATCTTCCTGTCAACATGACGCTTGCTCAACGCGCTGTTTGCGACGCTCCACATATCCAAAATGATGTGCCAACCCAGAACGCCATGCATGAACGTGGTGCAAGCAACCGCAACGCCTCCCTATGTGTCACTGGTCTCGAATACAAGTCCGTCTCTATACGCTGACGTGTGAGTGTTTCTACATCTCTTGAGGGGTCAGCCAGGTGGCTTCGACGCAACCTTCGTAAAACTCTCTCTGGCCATTCTGTCCCTCGACACCAAAGCCCATGTCACGGAGCTTTCCGGTGTCCCAGCCGCTGACGAACTCGCCTTGACCGCCGTTTTCCCGGTCGACAGCATCGCCAAGCTTGATGTAATCGGCGTGACGACAGACGGTCTGCGAGTAAGACCATTGGAGGCAGTTGCCGTCATTAGCGCACTCTGAACCGCACGAGCCGGCGTTGCGATGTGCGGGACGATCGTTCGGTACGGGCGCTTGCGAAAGGTTATCCCACCACTCTTTCGAGGGACCCTGCGACAGGAAGCCGTGCGTATAGGAGAGGAACGATGAGTAGGTGAACGGTTTCTGCGCGATAATGTTAGTCAGTCGTTTAGCAGGGTCGGAGCTGAAGTACTTACCGTGTTGTACGGCCGTGTTCTTTCCCACCTCCACAAGTCTTCCATCTGCTGTGGCTTGAGCTGGTGCAGCGAGAGCATTGGCACGCACCACTTGTCGCGTGTGGTGGTCACATCTTTAAGCTTGTCGCTGGCAAAGGTAGGGTACATGGGCTCGAGCTTGTGGCCGGTCGCGTTCTGGATGGCGTAGGCAAGGACAGCGTCGCCGCGCTGCTCCTCCTTGACCCAATTCTCGTATCGGACGCCTAGTCGGTTTTCGCGGGGAATCTCTGTGGAGCCGGGAGTCTTGCCTGGGATGAGTTGCTTGACAAGGCCCTGGGAGAGGACGATTCCTGCGCCGCCATAGGCAAAATGACGGCCTTCAGAGCCCT